ACTGCTGGTGGCTCAGTCCCCTTGTCCCACGTGGGGGGACAGCCCCGCGGTTTGGGGGGGCCGTTGTCCTTTGCCTCCCCCCCTCGCCCGGGGGTACTCACGAAGTCGGGGTTGTAGCAGAGCCGGCCAAAGCCCATCCTAAAATCCATGAGCTGGTTTTCCAGCACATCCACGCGCTGCTTCTCCTCCTCTGTCTCGCCGCCTGCAGCACCGGGAAGTGTCACCCCCATCCCCAAACAGAGCGTCCTGTGGACCCCGGCGGGTGCTGCGACCCCCCTCAGTCCCCCCACTCACACATGTTGTGCTTGCGGGCGATGTAGCGCAGGATCGCGTTGCTCTGGGTCAGCTTGACGGGGCCATCGATGAGATACGGGAGCTGGGGGGGTTCCCAGAGCGGGGGTCAGCCCCGGCCATCGCCGCCCCCCGCCCTCAGCGCCCCCCCGCACCCCCCACCCCATCACCTACATTGGGGAAGTCGAGCCCCAGTTTCTCCTTCTCGTTGGTCCAATCGCTCGGGTCAAAATCGGGGGCTGAGGGGGGGGCAGAGCAATTGCAGGGGGGGCTCCCTCGGGCCCCCCACCTGCCCAGCCCGCTCTGCCCCCGGAGCCGCGAGTGCCCCCCCAGCCCGCCACGCCCTGGGCGGGTCAGGGACGGCGTTGCCCCCGAGAGGGGTCAAAGTCCGATTTTGGGGAGGTGTGGGTGTGCCCCCCCCGAGCTGCAGGACGGGGCTGGCGGGGGGGGGGTGAAGAGGGACAGGCTGGAAACGGGGCGTCCGTTCCCCCCTCCCCAAGCCGGTTTTTGACACGGCACAAAACAAGGGAAGGGGTCCTGGGGGGTTGGGGGTTTTGGGGGGTTCACAGCCCCCCCTCACCTGGGCCAGGGCGGTACTGGCGCTCCTCGTAGGGGGTCTCCGTGTACTCCAGCAGCAGGCGGATGGCGTGGGCCAGCTGGGGGTGGACACACACAGCGCCCACCTTTGGCACCCCCACAGCTCCACCCTGTGCTCCGCAGGACCCCAAAACCCCCTGGGACCTCCAGCACTCCCACGCCACCCACCCAAGGACCTCCAGAACCCCTCAACACCCCTCCCTGCGGTCCCCGGCACCGCCAGACCACCAGAACCCCCTCAGGGACCCCAGGACCTCCCACCAGCCCCCCTGTGACCCCTGGACACCCCTGATGTCCTGTAGACACCCCTCGTACCCCACCAGCCCCCCTGTGCCCCCCCCCCGGCCCCACTCACCCCCCGGATGTCCCAGTAGCCCAGTGTCACCACCATGGTGCTCCCCGGCCGCGGCTCTGCGGGACTGTGGCACGGACCCGGACGGACTGGGGACAGGGGACAGGGGACAGGGGGGTGGCCGAGCTCTCCCCGCCCCTCCCCCGGGCCCTCCCCCTGCCTCTCCCTCCCCGCCCGCGTGGGCGCTGCCAGGCGGGTGCCGGGGTGTCCCGCCAGGATGAGCTGCCAGCGCTGGGGGAATCGGCGATGTCGAGCGGTCCCGTGGGGTCCTGGGGTTTCTCTGGGGGTCCCGGGGGTCTCAGTGTGTGCCCGGGGCGATGGTGATGCCCCCCTCGTCCTGGGTGGGCTCCAGCTCAGCCTCCCCCGCAGCGCTGAGGCCCAGCCTGGAGAAGCGGAGGGGCCAGCACGGCTACAGGTGAGGGGGGGGCGTGAAACACCCCCTGAACGTCGGGGAAGGTGCGGGGAGGCTACGTGGGACCCCCGAGGGGGGGGCTGGAGAGGCTGTGTGAGAATGGGGGGGCTGTGGGTGGGCTGGGGGCTCTGTGGGGAGGGGGTGCGGTGTGAGGAGTGAGGGGCCATGGGGACATGGGTTCTGTTGCCTGCACTCGTGGAGCAGATCCTGAGTTACGATCAGGAACGACAGAGCGTTATAAATTAGCGTGAAGCAGTTTGAACAGAATGACCGAGTTTGAAAAAGGTGTGTAAGAATATTTTAAGCAGTTCCATGCACGCACCACGCCAGCCAGGACCCCGTGCCTGCGGCCACGCCCCCAACACGTGACACCCGCGCGGCCACGCCCCCAACAAGTTAGAATCTCATGGCCTCGCCCCCTGCACGTGACATCCCCGGTCACGCCCCTTTAGGGGGCGGAGCTTGAGGGCTCGGGGCGGGGCGAGTGGAGGGGACCCCGGTCCGGGCGCAACCCCCTTATCCTGGGGGCTCTGCAACCCCCCCTTCCCCTTTGGACCCCCTGTATTGGGAGGGTTCTGTCACCCCACCACCATCCCCGCGGGACCCCCCTGTCCTGGCGGCTCTGCGACCCCCACACCCCACGGGGTCCCCCTTATCCCGGGGGGGACACGAATCCCTCTGTGCCCCCCTCAAGCTGCAGGGGGGTCCCCCTTTCGACTCCCTAAGGAGGGGTCTCGTTATGCTGGGGGGGCACAGACACTCAGGGGGTCTCCCTTATCCTGGGGGTGCAGAGAGAATTCCTCCCCCCATCCCATAATCCAGGAGGGTCCAACAGCCCCCCCACCCCCGCGGGGGTCACCCCACAAACGGGGGGTCCCCGCAGTCCTACAGTGAAGCCACAAATCAGACGGACAGGGCAGAGCCCCCCATGATTTATTCGGGATGGGGTGAGTTGGGGGGCACAGGGTGAGCTGAGGGGCACAGGGTGAGTTGGGGCGCAGGGTGAGTTTGGGGGGGTTTGTGGGGGTCCCCCCCTCACTCCTTGGTGTTGCTCCACTTGGCCGTGCGCCAGAAAATGGGTGTTTTCATGAAGCGTGGGGTCTTCATGTAGGAGGAGATCTTGGGCAGGGCCTGGGGGGACACGGGGGTACATTGGGGAGACAGCAGGGACTGGGAGGGGACTGGCACACGTGGGGAAAGCAATGGGGACATGGGACAGGGATGGGGACACAGGGACGGGGCTGGAAACACCAGGGAGGTGTGGCACGAGGGAGGGGGCAAAGAGCAAAGGGATGGGGAAAAAGGGGACAGAAATGGGGAAAAAGGGGACAGGAATTGCAGCCAAAGGGCACAGGGACAGGTGGGGACAGGGACACCAGAGTGTAGGGGATCGGGATGGGGACAGGGCCACCACAGGGTCAGGGATGGGGACACTGGAGTGCCCCAGGCTGTCCCCAGGCTGTCCCCTGTCCCCCCTCACCTCGAAGCGCTGCAGGAACTTGCCCAGGTTTCCCTGGAATTCGGGGCTGTTGGGCACGAACATGCGGTGCTGGTCCAGCATGTCGTATGCCAGGAAGTCCACGAAGGTCAGCTGAGGGAAGAGAGGGTGGTCAGACCCCACAGGGACCCCCAAAACAGCCCCCCAGAGCCCCCTGAACTCACCTTGTCCCCCGCGAACCAGGTGCGGGAGCCCAGGTAGCGCGAGAACTCCTGGAGCTTCTTGGGAAGCTGCTCCAGGTATCCCGCCTTCAGCTTCTCCTGCAGGGGGGACGGTTGGGGGGGCTGAAACACCACCCAGACCACCCCCCAGACCCCACAGAACATCCCCAGACCCCCCAGAACATCCCTCAGGCCCCACAGAATACAGGGCAGCACCCCCGGGCAGAGAGGGGGGAGTGGGAATGGGAATGGGGGATGAGAACAAGAGAATTGGGGACAGGAATGGGGGATGAGAAGGGGGGAATGGGGGCAAAGGATGCACCCCAAAAGAGCCCCCTCCACACTGCTGGTGGCTCAGTCCCCTTGTCCCACGTGGGGGGACAGCCCCGCGGTTTGGTGGGGTCCGTTCCCCTGTGCCTCCCCCCCTCGCCCGGGGGTACTCACGAAGTCGGGGTTGTAGCAGAGCCGGATGAAGCCCATCCTGAAATCCATGAGCTGGTTTTCCAGCACATCCACGCGCTGCTTCTCCTCCTCCGTCTCGCCGCCTGCAGCACCGGGAAGTGTCACCCCCATCCTCAAACAGAGCCCCCCTGGGACCCCGGCGGGTGCTGCGACCGCCCCCCCCCCCGGCCCCCCCACTCACACATGTTGTGCTTGCGGGCGATGTAGCGCAGGATCGCGTTGCTCTGGGTCAGCTTGACGGGGCCATCGATGAGATACGGGAGCTGGGGGGGTGGTCCCGGAGGGGGAGTCAGCCCCGGCCATCTCCCCCTCTCCCCGCGCCGCGCCCCCCCCGCACCCCTCATAACGTACATTGGGGAAGTCGAGCCCCAGTTTCTCCTTCTCGTTGGTCCAGTCGCTCTGGTCAAAATCGGGGGCTGGGGGGGCAGGAGGGCAGAGCAATTGCAGGGGGGGCTCCCCCAGCCCCCACACCTGCCTACGGGGGGACCCTGCTCTGCCCCCGGAGCCGCGAGTGCCCCCCCAGCCCCGGGCGGGTCAGGGACGACGTTGCCCCCGAGAGGGATCAAAGTCCGATTTTGGGGAGGGATTTGCCCTCCCCGAGCTGCAGGACGGGGCTGGCGGCGGTGGGGGGGAAAGGGACAGCCTGGAAACGGGGCGTCCCTCACCCCCCCCGGCTGGTTTTTGACACTGCACAAAGCAGGGGAAGGGGGTCCCGGGGGGTCACAGCCCCCCCTCACCTGGGCCAGAGCGGTACTGGCGCTCCTGGTAGGGGGTCTCCGTGTACTCCAGCAGCAGGCGGATGGCGTGGGCCAGCTGGGGGGGACACACTCAG